TTTTTTTTTTTTTTTTTTTTTTTTTTTTTTTTTGGAGGGGAGGGTTGAATATTGCGATTCAGCTGGTACAAATATTGATGATCAATACCGAATACTTTAGTCTATTAAATATTAATAATAAACATTAGCTTTAACTCATTCAATAAGTACGCATATCTAGTTAATGTTTTGTGACAGTAGAGTTTTATGCAGTGAATGTGGTCATTTAGATTTCTTTATAGCTAAGCTTTATTAATTTTATCAGTTAATATTAATTTTTATTAGTGATGTTAGATGAATAACTACTGTAGGTGACGAGAGTAGGACACCATTGCTGCGCAGTACGAACTCAGCAATGGACAGTAATGTAGTTCGAGTTGATTTGAATCAGGTTGATGCGGTTTCTGAGACGCTACCAACTGTTCACGATAGGTACCCGAGAGAGCGATGGAAAACATTGGTTTATATTTTTCTCATTTGGATTAAATTTCAATTTTTTTAAATTTAGTTTATATATCTTCTACTGCATGAAAAGTTTTGCGTAAGTACTTGAACTCTTTTTACAAATTATTGAAATTTCCTCTTTGTTTTCAACATTATTTCAACCTGCTCTTACGTTTTGCATTATTGAGAGTAAATGTTTTCTGTATCATGTAACATAAAAAATGACCTGGTTTTTGGAAAAAACTCTGTCAGGAAACCTCCAGTGATTAATTTATAATTTATTTTCAATTTTATAGAGGCATTTTGAGTTCCGCTAACCTAATTTAATTTTTAGATAGCTTTTCTGTTGCTTGCAGTGGCGGCGCTGTGTAATGATTTGGTCCTATCGTTCATCCACGAACGAGTACCTCAGCAGCCTGCTTTGCCAGATATTTTGTTTGCAGTAATGCCTTACCTTCCATGGGGGCTTAGCATTTCCGAGTATCTTATGTTATCGTCTGTTGCAATGATGTTTATAATTGCTTTTTTTCATAGATATCGGTGGATTGTTTTAAGGTTAGCACTTAGATACAGTTAGATTTATCAGATATAGAGGTATTTTGATGTTTGACTATTGGATTTATAAATTCAACAGAGGAGATCTTGTATTGAAATAAAAGTTTCTTAAAATTTTTTAATATTCACGTGATGAAAATGGATGGTAATTTGTTTTTTTTTTTTCAAGGCGAATTGCGTTTCTTGGTTCTCTTTTATATTTTGGTCGTTGCGTTACAATGATTGTTACTCAAGTTCCTGTTGCTGATGTGAACTATCCCTGCGCTCCACGTTTGGTTGGTTTTGACTTTGGCTAATATAATTCTTTTTATTATCACCACTATTACTGTGACAGCTTTATTGAGAAAGCTCTGCATTGCAGGAGAAGCTCTAGTTTTTAGGGTGTTGTTGTGGTTGTTGTTTGGAGATGAATTGAATTGTTTATGTGACACCGAAACTCACTCTACTTGATTGAAAAATCTTCATTTCTTCTCTTTTAAACGTGAAGTTGCTACTGAATGTTAATCTGTAATAATATTTTAGGGTGCAAATCACACTGTTTGGGACATTATTTGGCGAGGTTTACGTGTTGCTGGTAGTTTAGGTTTAAATATTAATGGGAAAATTATCTTATGCGGAGATTACATTTACAGCGGACATACTGTTGTGCTGGTCATGACGTGTCTTTTCATTATTGAGTGTTAGTATTTGCCTTATAGGGTTGCCGTACAGATTAAATCTTTTGTTGATTGGTCTAATTTTATTGTTTTTGAATTATCAGAATCAGCACTTTTGTCAACGATGGAGAAAAGTATTATTGTTCTTTCAGACAGTCCACGTCGTTGGAAGCTTCTGCATTTCTTATCCATCCTTGTTTCACTAAGTGGAGCCATATTTTTGATTCTTTCAAGAGGCCATTACACTGTTGATGTGGTTCTTTCCTACTGGATCACTACTAGAGCCTTCTGGATTTACCATACACTTGTTTCCTACTCAGCTCTGAAGGTAGCACTTCTTTTTCGTCATTTTTAATTATTATTAAGAATTATCATTGTTGTAAAAGATGTGTTACATTATCAGTTTGTTATATTATTATTATGTTTTTTATGTGTTTATTTAGCTTGAATCTTTTTTAGGATGTTAATTCAAGCCACAATTATCTGTCGCAGGCTTGCTGGTACAGGGTATTTCGTTTTATGGAAGGAAATATTCATAAGCCAGTCCCTAGAAAGTATGTAGATCATACTCCGTTTATCTGTTAAATTTGTGAGGAACAGTTTTTCTATCATAGATAAAATTATTTGAGCAATTGAACGCTCTTAACTATGAAGTCTGTCATCAATGCTGTGCATAGTCTAGTGACATCGTTTTTTATGACCATGCTTAACAGTTTTTTATGCTTAACAGTTAAGGTTAAATGTGATTTTTTGTCTAAAGCCAAGTTAGCGCAACCGATCATTTGTAATATCTCGTATGTAGATTTTAGAGCTTTTAGTGCTCAATGTTTCATTTTTGAAAAATTTTTAGTTTCTTTTTCAAAAAGGAAACAAACACAGAGGAGATGCATCTTTTCCGTGTTTATTTCTTTTTTACAGTATTTTTATTTTGCTTTAAAAACTTTAAACAGTTTTATTGTTGACCTTTTAGGTTTGATTCACCAGTTCCGTGGATACGTCGTTGGTTGCGTTCACCGCTACAGTTTTTCAAACCAAATATGTCATGAATTTTCAAAACAGTAAAGCAGTTGCTGATACTTAAAATAATTAGGGGCCTTTTATGGCCTGTTAGGTCAGGGATGATTTCAACTTGAATTATCGTTTTCGATTCAGTTCTTCAGGTGCCACTTTCAGCAGTACATATGTGCATTTTGTGAAATATGGTCATTTTTCATGGAGTAAGTTTAATAATAATATTAGTAATAGTAGCAACAAACGATAGCAGCAACGGCCATTATACTGACCTCCTGTCAAATCTAGTCTTGCCAGATGAAATAAGCATCTGTTTGTTCGTCTTAAACTTATGATTCTCGTTTTTTGCTATGGATTTTCGCTTCGTATTGTGTATGATAGATAAAAATTGATTAGGACGAATGTTTAATTCAATAACGTACGTGGAAATATTTGTGTAAAATTTTGGCTTAACTAACAGTGAGCATATCATTCTTATGGTGAGGATGGTACTGCGCAAAATTTTATCATTTTTCTAATTATTACCGTTATTATTATTATTATCATCATAGTTACATTATTATTCCTTTCTTTGCAATATTTAATGTAGCTAATTTAACGGGTATGGAAAGCTTATGCATCTTCAGTTCTGCCAGTGTGAATCATTTGTTTATGTTGCCGCAGACTTGAGCAAAAATTTATATTTTTGGTTTTTCCTTTTTCTTTGTGGTGTGAAAAATGTCTTCCATGTTCTATTATTGCATTTATTCACCGCCACTTGTATTCTTCTCATTATTTACTGTAGTTCACGGGTCTAATTTTCTGAATGCAGAAAGTTAAAATGGAAAAATTGACTTAAGTATGTTTAGTTATTGTTTTTTTTCCTGCTTTATTTTACATTTGCTTTCCACCTAAGAAAGGTTACGTGATACATAGGTATTTGAAACTATTTGCTGTTTTTAACAGGACTTTAAAACGTACTATTCAAGTAACATAGCAGTAGAAGTTGTAGAAACAGTGATGTTTCTGTAATATGTTCAAAAAAAAAATTAGAGAGTTGATTTTCTCTAACGGGTGAATACTGTTTTGAGACAACTGTCGAGTAAATCTCATCTTTATTTCAGTCTGTTAATATTTCTTAAAATTTTTCATATGTTTTTCTTTATCAGAGTGGCCTGTTTCAATTCTTTAATTCTTCGTTCCCGTTTTGTTTTTTTTTCTTTGTTTAACTGTTCTCTGGACAACGGCTGTACTTTGTATGAGTCCCCCTTTCGTGTTTAATTTTAAGACAAGGTTTTGTTTTACATTATACTAGCCGCACAGTTTACTTTCTTGCTTTCTGTTAATTCCGGGTTTTCTTGCCTAAAACACAGTTTCTATCAGGAGTACTATGAATTTTCGAGTTTTTTTTGTTGCTAAATAAAGTTACAAACTAAAGAATAAAAAATTATATGATTAAAGCAGCATTTACAGGTTTGGGATCGTTTGGTCTTGCATTTCACAAGTTTGGAACTACAGGTGGAGAAATGTTTTTTTTTAGATGTCGGGTCAGAGTACGATTCTGATTTAAGTTTTGCAGGTTGGAGCTGCGTTCAGCTGAGTTGATGGTTTTTGATTTATTTATGAAAACCTGATACCTGTGGACGTTGATTCGTCTGTTCAAGGGAAAAATTTTTGGCTTTGTTTTCTTCGAGCGTGTCATAATTGGGCAGTCATGCGAAAAAATGATTTTTTGTAGCTGTTGGGATTACCTTCTGCTTTTCAATTTCGCAAGGCACTGTCTTGGGTTTTTGTTTTCACCTTTGCCAAGACACATTTTATAATTTTGGAAGGGCTGTAATTTTGAAATGTACTTTAAAAAAGGATGTTTTTAGAGGTTTCTTTTTATTCAAGCTCTTGCAGTAAAATAGCAACTACCTATGTTGGGTTAGAGGATTTTTTTTCAGTTATTTTTTTACCTCTACTCAAATGAATTTTACTCAGAAACCTCTCTGACAAAATTTTATGAGGAAGAGGTTTTGACAGAAGTGATACATTTCAGGTTAGGTTTTATACACAGTAGAGGTCAGTCAAAGTTCTCGTTAAAAACTTCGTTAAAGTGATTTGATCAATAAAAAATTCAGGACTTTAAACGTGAAAATAAATTTTTTATGGAAAGAAACTATAAAAATTTGCTTCTTAACAGTTGAAGGTTATATGACTGTTGAATGCAGAAGAATAAAGGTTATAGTTTGGAAGATTAAAGTCAGCGGTAGCGCAGAAATTGTTCAGAATATATTAATTAAATTTAAACATTAATGAGGGAACAAGTATGCTCTGACCAGCTAAGGAAAAAAGGTGATGAAATGCGGTTGAAAAAGGGCAAGTGTGAAAATTAAATCCTGAAGCATCTAAAATTGGAGGACGACGTTATTTTCATAACCTGCTGACTTCGTGCGGGAAATTTGGAATGTCTATACACTGACAGTGTTTTAAAAGATATCAAGACAGAGAAGAGCACCACCTCGGTAGATCGAATAGGATGGAGTTGAAAAAAATGTCATAAAAAGTCAGGTGCAAAATCTTTTAATTTTACCTTAGATTTTACCTTTATGGCAATGCTGTACAAAACCTCGTCGAACAGCTTGAAAAAATAATAACTTTTGATTACTGCGTTCAAAATGCTTTCGTTAGAGGTTTTCAAGTTTTTCTGTGCCCGTCAGAGATTGTCTATAGAAGTTTTAATTTACATTCGAACAGTTTGTCTGCGATTGAGAGAACTTGTTTTGCAATTTAAAAATAATAAAAGGGAGCTTGACGTTGGTAGCTGTCTTCTTCTTACTACTCGGGAACGTTTATACCACTTTTCTTACTGGTTCTTCGTCTGTTTACGGAAGCTGTCACATCTATAAATGCATAATACGACGCGTACAAATTTGTTGAAGTATATTAGTAAATTTTGGTCTATTATGAGTAAGAAAAGACATTGAATTAGTTGCTACCAAAATGCTACTTACTGAAACCTTACCGATTTTGACAGAAGCAATTTGGTTCAAAATGCGACAATTTTTTAGGAAGCGTTGCTGCTGAGGGAGACAAGAAGACCAACGAAGATTAATGTAAAAGTATATATTTTTTTAAAACCTATGGTAACTAAGGCGTTCCTATTTAACAACTACCACTTTTTTTTTCAGTGTTCCACTACCGCAATGAATAAGTTCGATGGCTTAAATGCTGCTTAGAGATTGGTGCTTTAGAGGAAGGCTTAATTATCGATGATAAATTACAATATTTTATTGCTTTAAAAAAATGGATAATACAGCATTTTGTTGTGTCATGTCTTCCAAAAATTCTTTTTGTACGCAGAAACTACAAAGTACGATTTATGTGTGATTGCTTTGTTTTCTCAAACTTATGGATCAGCAGGAACGCTCAACCGCTGCTATGTTTATTTGACAAACATTATGAAACAAATAGATCATCGTTTTAGAATTAAAATTCTTAGGTATCACTTGGTTCTTGAGAATATAGATGGTGAAAGGAAATCATAAGAAGTAGTAAATGTGTGAGTTTCATTTTAAGTTGTTTATTCAGAATAGTGTTTTTTCGAATGTAAAAATCATTGCCGTTTGATGTATCTTTGAAATCGGAACCGTTTCACTAAAAGCCAGTCATATGTTGCTACTTGGAAAAAAAATTATCGATAATTTTGACAATTTACATTCTTTTACGATTTGAATAACTGATTGCATTATGCAGCTTTTTCAGAACTGCTGCTTAAAGCTTATTTTTTAAAACCTGATATCCAGCTTCGCATAAATCATTCAACAGTCTCCGACACCACGTAAAGTTGTTGCAAATGGTTCAATATAGGGTCCTTTTTTCTTTCCAATTAGGTTCTGTATCTTACCGCTGAACATGCCTCAACATTCTAAAAAACCTGCATTTAAACCGTTTTGAATCTGAAACTTATATATCAGTGTCGCAGCTAAAAAGTGACAGAAGAAGTGATAACTGAGAAATGCAAATAGAAATTTTTTTTGCAAGAATAATTAGCATTACAAATTTGTCGTATAATGTCGTAAAATAGCATTACAACTTTGTCGTTTAATGATGTAAAAGTGAAAACACCGATTTTCTCAGTAATAGATTAGAAAGAAAGATTCTGTATGATGGTTAAAAACAGTCACAAGTTTTCTCATGAATAGTCAAGCTGTTTTTTAAAAGTTAAATTGAGAAGGCTGGAGAACTTGTATTTTTACAACAACGGCGGTTTTTGAATACGCAAGTCTCCAGCAAACCTTAGCGATCTGTAAGCGCAATGAGATTGTTGGTGGGATTAGTTGTACTTGACACAGATACCTGCCTTTAGTAATGGAAGGTACTGTATAAGCTCATAAGTAAGATTTAGAACTATCTGAACCTCAAAATTATCTAAGACAACTGAATGCAATTATAAAGAAATGACGTTGCCTCTATCAAAAAATAGTTTTTTGATCAACAATTTATTTTAATTCAACTTTTCACTATAGAAGCACTTGTGAGGATAAGAAGAAAATTAACGCTGTCAAGGAATGCATATTGTTTAAACCACGTATTACAGTTCTCTATTACAG